CAAATTAATTAATTTATAAATCTCCTTAATTTTATTTTAAGGATTTTAAAATTTTGAAAACTAAACCAAACATTCAAAATTACATTTATTCTAAATAGAGACTTAGCAATCATAATTAAATAAAATATAACAATTAAATATGACTCGAAGAAGTATTATGTGCATTTTGTTTCTGTTTTGAAACACATTTAAATGACTTATTAAATTTGTAAGCACTATAATTAGCTTTTTTTTAATTGAAGAAAACAGAGCAAAAGTGATGTTGTGAAGAAGTGGAAATTATAGTCTGTGAGTAACGATAATTAAAACTGCTTTAAATGTTAAATTTGTGAAGAAAAAACTGACCGTATCAAAGAATATAATCCGACTCCGAATATCAGGTTCTTTCTTTCCAAGGTGTCCCTCAGTTTCTCGATAAGCTGTCTCTTTCTCTTGCTCTGTTGAAAATGTAGAAGCAAATGTAATCATGTTTAGGCAATCATCTATGGTAATTTTTATGGCCGATTGGAACTTAAGTGCAGAACTTCCAGCATAGAAACTTGACAACAGTTCACAAGAACGTAGCTCAATGGAGTTTAGCCGTGGGAATATCAACTCTGTGTTCACTACCTCCTCAACTCCTTTCACCATAATCACTTGTTTCAAATCTCTACAGAGTGACACATACAAGTCCTTGAGGTGCCCAAGGCCTGATACCATGGAACGGGTAAAAAGGTATTCTAAGCTGCTACAATCATAAATTTGTAGATTTTTAAGCGTTCTGAAATTCAAGATTTCTTGAGAAGTCACAGTGTAGGAAGATGTTATCCACAACTGATTTATTTTAATCCCAGACAAGTCCAATTCCTCTAAATTTGAAAACACAACCTGCAAAACAAACAATTCTTTTACTAAGAAAAAGCATATATTTCAATTTTTTGATATATAAGACAACAAAAAGGAGAAAACGATGAAGTTGATAGTATTGAGGATATGCAGTCAAGGAAGGAAGGCTTTTTGAATTTAAACGAAACGGCCGAGAATGATGGTAACAGTGGTTTCAATTTGGAGTGCAGGGCAATTTCTCGGGTTGATGACGAACATGGATTATTTATGGATTGTGGGCCGGTAGTGGATTAAGTGTGATGGGCTGAAGGAGTATGATGGGCTGGTAGCCAACCCAAGTGGGATGGTCGGGAGCAGTAAAGAAAATAGGCCCGATGATGATAATGTGGGACAGCTAGCATCTGTCCGGGAGATTGATAGAGGGAATTTGATGGGTAAAAGGCACAGGAAAATAGAAGAGTGTTACCCGAAGGAGCTAGCAGAAATCTGGGCGGAGCAGGGGCAGTTGGTGACAGCCAGAACAAAGCTACGGCAAGGGAGAAGAGAGATGGCTCGAAAGGCTGCAACAGAAACAGTGGAGCGGGTTGGCAGCATGTCTCTTTCTGATGGATGTATTATGCACAAAAACCAGGTAATTCAAAGAGAACTTAATTTGCATGAGGTGAGGAAGATGATGAGAGTGGGGAAAAGGTTGGGTATTGAAATGCAAGGCAATGAAGAGAAGGTTGAGTCTAGGTTGTTAGAGTTAAAAGATAGGGATGAGGAGAGGGGGCGGAATCTAAAACGGAATTAAGGGTGTTCGGGTGATTGGGGATGTGGATTTCTTATTAGAATGAAGCTTTTATCTTTTAATGTCAGGGGTTTGGGGGGACCATTGAAGAAGAAAGAAGTGGGGAAATTGGTAAAAGTGGAAAAACCAGATTTCTTATTCTTGCAGAAGACCAAATTAGAAGAGATTGATGGTAATTTATGTAGAAGATTGTGGAATTCAGATGGCTTCGATTGGGTTATGAAGGGGTCAATGGGAGCATCGAGAGGTCTGCTGTGTGTTTGGGACAAGTTGAATTTTGTGAAGAGGTTCTTGGGTGTTTCAGGGGAATGGGGTACAAAGAAGTTGCAATGTTATTTTGTGAGTGTGAATGTGTATGCTCCAAATGATAGAAGGAAGAAGGTTGAGTTGTGGGAAGAGTTGCGGACACTAATTCTAGAGAAGGGAGGACGATGGTTGATTGCAGGTGATTTCAATGCCGTAAGATGTCTTGAAGAAAAGAGGGGAAGAATAGGGGAGAATCCAAAGATGAGCGATTTTAATGCTTTTATTGAGACAACTGGGCTAATTGACATTAGATTGGCAAATCGGTGGTTTACATGGTATAGATCAGATGGTTCTTCTATGAGCAGGTTAGATAGAGTATTGATGACTGAAGAGATGTTTACTATGGGAGGTGAATGGGTGCAGCAAGGGCTGAGAAGAACTATATCAGATCATTGTGCCATACTTATGAAGACAAAAATCACAGACTGGGCGCCAAAACCGTTCAGGGTTTTGGATGCTTGGCAGCAGCATCCTGATTTCAAGAAAACAGTAGAAGATAAGTGGAATGAATTAGAGGTGGATAGGTTTGTAGGGTATAGATGTAAGCAGAAACTAAAACTGTTGAAAGTGTTTTTAAAAGGCTGAAATCAAGAAGTTTTTAGGGATATGGAAGTTCTTTGGGTGCAAGTGTTGCACTGGTGGGGTATTGAGGCTGTGTTATCAAATACAATAGAAGGAGTTGCAGAGTTCTTTCTACATGGTTTGGGTAAGATTATAGGGAAGGAAATGGGAGCATGTATTTTCCTTGCTGTTTCTTGGTATCTCTAGTACTGTAGGAATGTAGGAGTTTTTAAGCATCTTGTGAGTTTTAGGGAAAGGGTGGTGGATATGGTGCAAGCCAAGACTTTTTTCTAGATTAAAACTAAGATGCAAAGGTGTGTTTTTTCCTTTTCTGAGTGGTAGAATAATTCAATATAGGTTGCTATAGAAGTAAGAAGGCATAAAAGGCTATTGAAGACATTCTATAAGCATAAATTGTGGGTGGCATGAATTGGATTCTTGGTAGAAAGTTTTTGTTTGTTAGTTTTGTTAGAAGATAATGGTATTGATTGTTGGGCGTGTTGTCTGATCATGCCTTCTTCCTTTGTATATGGGTTGGAGTACCCTTGTACTCCTTAAAATAATATGTAATATTTCCTTTGCTGATCAAAAAACAAAAAAAAAGAGTATAATAATCTCTTTTCAATAAAAATAAAAGAAGTGAAATGGATAACAAGTTGAGAGATAATTCTTCAAATTATGTAATTCAAAATAATATATATATATATAAAGTGTATAATTACAAATGAATTCTACTAAATTTTAATTAAGTCAAACATAATCATGTGAATTCAAATCATTAAATTAAATTAAAAAATTTTGTAATTAAATCAAGCACAATAGATATAAAAATTGCATTCCACACTTTTCTATAGAATAAAAGTTCGCGCCCTCCGTTATCAAATTGGAAGAAGGTTGAATCCTTTTTAATAATCCTACATTTTTCAGCTTTTTTATGAGTAATATATTTTTCTTTCAAACATGTCTAACCATCTGTACTTTTTAAAATAATTTAAAGTAACTCTTTAAAAATTTTGTAAAAATGTAAAACACAAACTATTGGATTGCTATTGAACCTAGCCCAAACTTGAAACCCAGTTGATCTCCCTAAGAAAAAAGGAACAGTAAGATTAACTTTTTATATTTTCTAATTACCCTTCCGCAAAGAAACAAAAAATGAAATAAAATAAAAGAAATGAATGAAATACCTTATCGTTGAAAAGTGAGATGCCGCTGCAATTACCACTGTTGAAGAAGCTAATAAGTTCTGGTAGCCTTGTTAATGTTAAGGACCGCAGATTGTTGCCAAGCTTACATCCTTCACTTTCTTCAACGATATCGTTTCCGTTGCCTTGCTCCTCCACGTCATCAATAATCTCTGCAATGTTGTCGCAATGTTCTACTGTTATTTCTTGAAGTTGAAGCTGTCTGGCCATGGAGAAGGAGAACAGATTCTTCAATTGATGACAATAAACAACGGTTATCTTGCTTAATACTTTAAAAGGTGCTGCTCCAGTCAGACCATGACATATCTTCTCCATTTTTTGCAAATTGGAAAGGGTCAATACCTCCAACATGGGAAATACCTGGGAATGAAGCAACCTCCTTGCCGGGTTAAAGATGCCTCGAATGTCTGGAGCATTTTGGACATGGAGACACTTCAGATGTTGAAAACCTTCATCATCTAACTCATCAACTAAACCCTGGACACCCTCTAGATACAGTTCTTCTGTCTTCTTCAGCAACTTTTTAACAGAGTCATTAGATTCAATGCTTGCACCCTGCAGCTTTAGCTTCATTACTTTTGAGCTTTCAAAAGAGCTGTTCCAGGAGTAACTGTCCCAATAGTAACTGTCCCAACGGTAATCCCCCCCAGACTCCCTCCTGCTCGCTATTCCTATGAAAATCTTGAACCTTTCCAAATTTTCAGGAAACAAAATTTCTCGGAAATTAGGAATACGTACCTCTAAAGCAGTGAGCATATGCAACTCTGTTAACTCAGCAAGCCCAGCATTTCTTCCCTCCACATCATCCCATTGGTCAAAGCTGTTTCCCATTTTTAGCTCTTCCAATTTAGACAATCTTGCTAGGACTTGTCGTGGAATTACTTTCAGTTTGGTGCAGTCACTCAAATCTAACAACTTCAGCTTGGTTAGCTTCTCCATTTCTCTTGGCAACTCTTCAATATCACAACCTGCAAGGCTAAGGACTTCTAA